GCTGCCAGGGTGCCCACCAGGATGGGATTGCATCTCCTTCCTCCCCGTAGGGTCCTCCAGGAAACCCCGGCCCCCCCGGCCCCCCCGGCCCTCCCGGCACCGGCATCGACATGTCGGCGTTCGCGGGGCTGGGCCAGCCCGAGAAGGGCCCCGACCCCATCCGGTACATGAGGGCGGACGAGGCCGCCGGCAGCCTGAGGCAGCACGACGTGGAGGTGGACGCCACGCTCAAGTCCCTCAACAACCAGATCGAGAGCATCCGCAGCCCCGAGGGCTCCAAGAAGAACCCGGCCAGGACCTGCCGCGACATCAAGCTCTGCCACCCCGAGTGGAAGAGCGGTAGGGACGCCCCAGGGACCCCCCTGGAGTCGTGTCAGGGGTGGGGTGGGGTGGGTGTTAGGGAAAGGTTCTTCCCCCAGGGCGGTGGGCACAGCACCCGCTGGAGGGTTTGGATCATCCTCTGGGGCACAGGGTGGGATTTTGGGGTGTCCCGTGGAGGGCTGAGGGTTGGACTCGATGATCCCTTCCAGCTCAGCATAACCCTGTGGAGTCAAAAAGAGCCTCCACCCTCCTCCTCCCGCTCCATCCCTCTCTCCCTCACACCCAGCGAGGCCAAGGTGGGCGCTCCACCCACCAAACCCTCACCCTCACCCCGCCCTCTGCCCTCCCTGCAGGGGACTATTGGATCGACCCCAACCAGGGCTGCACCTTGGACGCCATCAAGGTCTTCTGCAACATGGAGACGGGCGAGACCTGCGTGTACCCCAACCCCGGCAGCATCCCCAGGAAGAACTGGTGGACCAGCAAGGCCAAGGAGAAGAAGCACGTCTGGTTTGGGGAGACCATCAATGGCGGTTTCCACGTGGGTGTTCCCCCCGGGACTGGGGGGTGGAGGTCGAGCAGGGGGTGGAGGTTGAGAAGGGGGTGGAGGTTGAGCAGGAGGTGGAGGTTGAGCAGGGGGGTGGAGGTTGAGAAGAGGGTGGAGGTTGAGCTGGGGGTGGAGGTCGAGCAGGGGGTGGAGGTCGAGCAGGGGGTGGAGGTTGAGCAGGGGGTGGAGGTCGAGCAGAGGGTGGAAGTTGAGCAGAGGGTGGAGGTTGAGAAGGGGTTGGAGGTCGAGCAGGGGGTGGAGGTTGAGAAGGGGGTGGAGGTTGAGCAGGAGGTGGAGGTTGAGCAGGGGTTGGGTGAAGGTCGAGCAGGGGGTGGAGGTCGAGAAGGGGGTGGAGGTTGAGCAGGGGATGGGTGGAGGTCGAGAAGGGAGTGGAGGTCGAGCAGGGGGTGGAGGTCGAGAAGGGGGTGGAGGTCGAGCAGAGGGTGGAGGTCAATCAGGGGGATGGAGGCTGAGCAGGGGGAGAGCGTTGGGTGTCCATTTGGAGGGTTGGGATGTCCCTCCTTGGGGTGAAGCTGACAGGTGTTACACGACACACTGGCTGACCCAGAGTGTTGCTCAGGGTTGGGGCAATTGGGGTGAGATGTCTGCAACCACCTGGGGAGGCAAATTACGGGAGACCCCCCCCAAAAGCAGCCTTGTGGCAACACCCTCAGGGTCTCCAATGTCCCTCCTCCTCCCCCCCCTTCCAGTTCAGCTACGGTGACGAAGACCTGGCCCCCAACACGGCCAACATCCAGATGACCTTCCTGCGCCTCCTGTCCACCGAGGGCTCCCAGAACGTCACCTACCACTGCAAGAACAGCGTGGCCTACCTGGACGAGGACACGGGCAACCTGAAGAAAGCCCTGCTCATCCAGGGCTCCAACGACGTGGAGATCCGCGCCGAGGGCAACAGCAGGTTCACCTACAGCGTCCTGGAGGACGGATGCACGGTGAGCCCCCGGCAGGGTCCGGGGCTGCGAGGAGGAAGCTCAGGCAGGGGTGGTAGAATGAGTCTAGAGGCACAGGAAGGAATCCCTTCTCAGACTGGAGAACCTGGGGCTGAAAATCTACCAGTAGAGTGTAAGATAGTAGAGTGTAATATAGATTATAATAATACACTCTATTGACAGAGTGTATTTTGTAGTAGCACAGTGCACTGCAACAAAGCAATTATTGAAGCAGTTTATTAAAGCTGGCAAAAAGAAACAATTATTAAGCGGAGATCTGATGTAATTTGCCCAGACTGGGGGAGATCTCTGCTCTCAGCCTCAAGGAGTGGCATCCCCAGCCAAGGGAGAAACCTCCACGCACCCACCCCAAGAAGGGTCATGTCAGAAGAACCTGACTGGACTTTTCTAGCACAAAGTGGCTGACTGCCAGTCACACCTTCCCAGGCCAGCCACCAGCTTATCTGCCAAATCAGACCTCAAAGAGCAGGGTGGGGGGGTGTGTGTTCAAGCTGAAGAACCAGGATGGTTCCAGCATAATTAACACCGAGAGACTCCAACAGCCGACCGAGAGCTCGGTGGGATTTTAGGTCTTCTCAAAGATGATGAAGATGATGAGTTGGGGAGGGGGGTCAACCTGGTGATTGAGGTGGGGGGGAGTTTGAGGGTGTCTAATACCACCTTTAATCTGGTTCTTTTTGCCTCCCCCCCGCCAGAAACACACCGGCAAGTGGGGCAAGACGGTGATCGAGTACCGGTCGCAGAAGACCTCGCGCCTGCCCATCGTGGACATTGCACCTTTGGACATTGGTGGAGCCGAGCAGGAGTTCGGCGTAGACATTGGCCCAGTCTGCTTCTTGTAAAGGAACAAAAAAAAGCAAAAAAACAAAACAAAAAAACCCAACCACACACACACACACAAAAAATAAGGATGGTTTTATCGGTGCGTTCGGTCGGTCGTCGTTCGTCGTGGTGTTTCGTTCCGGGGTTGTTTTTCTTTGTTGGGGGAGGGAGGGGGTTGTGTTTTGTTGTTTTGGTTGGTTTGTTCTTTTTTTTTATAAAAACCCAGCTGTAAAAAAAAAAAAAAGAAACAAAAAAAAAGAAGAGCCAGCAAACTGAAACACAACCCCCCACCAAAGGAACCCGAGGAACTTCTCAATCTTCTCTTTCTTTCTCTTTCTCTCTCTCTCTTTCTCGTACGACTCCCGCCCTGCACGGCTGCGACGACCCCCCCCTCTCGACTCCCGCCCACCTCGTGCCGAGGCCGTCGGGGCAGGCTGCGAAATCGAACCAGTATTTATTTATTCTCTCCCTGTTAAGACCTATTTTCGTGTCGAAGGTCGGGTGGAGGTGGGAACATAACGGGCCCCTTCCCTGCCGAAGGGACGTCGCCAAGTCCAGGTAATCACGAATCCCCTCCCGTGTCCCCCCTCCTTTTCCCCTCCGTGTATCACCAGAATTCTACGTGAATGACACAAAAGGAAAAAAAAAACACAAACAAACACAAAAAAATGGTGCTATTCTTGTGTAAAACAAGTCTGTATTTTTTTTTGACATCGGTTGATATAAAAAAAAAAAAAAAAAAAAAAAAAAAAGATGAGTTTTGGTGGAAAGTACAAGCTGGTTTTTTTTGTGTGTGTGTTTTGCTGCGTCCAAACTCCTCCCTCCCTCCCCCCTTCCTTCTCAGCTGGGATAAAGGAAGGTTTGAAACGCTTCAGGTGGAAAAAAAAAGAACCTTTTAAGGTCCTCTCGTTTTTGGGTCAGCGCTCCAGCTTTTCTGGGTTGAGGCTCCTTCACAGTAAGAGGGAGGGAGGAAAAACCACCCAACCAAAAAGTAAAATAAATCCCACAAAAAACCAAAAAAAAAGGAGGGGGGAAAATAAAACCAATTTAAGGGGAAAAAATCTTGAAACCCCAACACAACACCCCCGAGGTTCCACTGTGGGACTTCCTGTCCCACCGCACCCCTAAATTCAGAATATCCTGTGACTCTGGAGCAGCACTGGGGCCACCAGTTAAAACCAGTAAAGGCTGAGGGAAGCAAACCAGTCTGGCCATGGAGGTTGGGGGGCTCCTCCCCACTTCCCCACCCCCCCCCCCAGATTTTTGTCCCATTTTTGCAGGTGCAAAACTCCCAATTTGGGGCTGCTTTGCGGTGTCGGAAGCGGGAGAGTCCGGGGCTGCTGCTTGCAGTTTTTTAAGGGCTTCATAAAAGTCACCTACGTTAAAATCCCTCTCCTAATCAGGCTGCTAATTAGAGGCAAAGTCTCAGAAGTCTTGAGGAAAAGTCAGCCCAGTGACCCCCCCCGAGGAGTTACAAACCCAGTCGGGTTTGTTCACGGATGGAGCGGGGACTTCACGAGTTCCACGAGGGTCCTTTTTGCTTAAAAAACTCTTAAAAAGCTCTTTTGCTTTGTTTTGTTTTGTTTTGCTTCTGTTGCAAGAATTTCAGGTAGAGAAATTACAACTTTTTAAAGGATTAAAAAAAGCAAACCAAATCAAAACAAAACAAAACAAAACAAAAAAACAACCCCATTTTGGGGGCCCTTCATCTCAGTTTGAAACACACGCCCAGCTGGGAGCAAAAAGCACCTGAGGCTGAGATCCTTCAAAATAAAAACCCAAAACAACCCAAAAACCACGTTGGCAGGGGAAATTCATTAAGGGGGATTGGGGGATTAAGGAGGATTTTCAAAATAAAATGGCCCTTTAAAAGGCCAAGTGCTTTGCCACATGACCTGGGAGAGAGGGGGAAGCTCCCCTAATGATGAGAGCTCTGGCTGCCAGCCCTCACCCCACTGATTTGGGGTCAAACCCTCGTCCTGCTCAGCCAAGCAGCAAGTTTGGGGTTCCTGCTGAGAGGGGGAGGGGGCAGCCCCCAAAAATCCCCCCAGGATGCTTGGAAGGCGTCGTGGGCATGAGGAGGGGGAGAAAGGTGGGTTTGGGTTGAAGAGGGAGGAAGGTGGGAAAAGGCAGGACTGAGCCCAGCCAGGTTTTCAGGAGCCTGGACAAAAAGCAAAGCTCGTGATTCCTTCCTTTTCCACAACAAAAAAAATAAATAAAATAACTCCTCATAAATCCAGGGGCTTCCAGAATTTGGGGGGAGGGGGAGAAAAGCTCATGGTGAGGCTGGGGTCGCAATTCCAGCTGGGAATGGGTGGCTTTGTGTCTCCCCCCTTGGTCTGAGCTTCTTCAGCCTCATCCCCCCAAAAATCGTGGGCTCATCCCCAGAGAATCCACAAAGATGGACAGGACAGAGGGAAGGAGCAGCTCTGGTGTGAGGAGAGGCTGGGAGGGTTCACCTGGAGAAGGGAAAGTCTCCCTGGAGCCTCTTCCAGGGTCTAAAAGTGGCTCCAGGAGAGCTGGAGAGGGACTTGGGACAAGGGGTGGAAGGACAGGACACAGGGAATGGCTTCATGCTGGGAAAGGGGAGATTCAGGTGGGATATTGGGAAGGAATTCCTGGCTGGGAGGGTGGGGAGGCCCTGGCATGGATTTCCCAGAGGGTGCCCCATCCCTGGAAGTGTCCAAGGCCAGGTTGGAGCCACCTGGGATAGTGGGAGGCGTTCCCTGCCCATGGCAGGGAGTGGAAATCAAGATGAGCTTTAAAAGCTCCCTCCTAACCCAGCCCGTTCTGGGATTCTGTGACCAAAAAAAAAAAAAAAACAGTGAAAGAACAGGTATTTCTGGGCAAAAAGACAACAAGAGAGCAGTCACAGCCCTGGGACAAAGCCAGATCTTCTCCCTCAGACAAAGGACAGCGCAGGGTATAACATCCAACTCGAGTTTAATCAGCACAATCGGGCTCCACCAGGCAGAGATCTCACCCCTCGAAGAAGAAAGCAAGGTGTGTTTTCGTGTCCCCGGCACACAAAAATCGAGCACCCCCCCTCTGAAAAGGGGCCTGATCCGCTCCCACCCCCTCCCCTCCCCTTCCCCCAGGCAGGCAGGCAGACAAAGGGGCAGGGCACGAACCGGGGGCAGCTCCAATTCCAGCGGAAAAAAAACCAAAAAAACCCAAAACAAACTCCCGAGGGGGCAGCAGAGGAGGGGAACGAAAAGTCCTGCGAGTTGGCGTGGGGGAAAGGGGGGGGAAAAGCAGAGCTGCCACATCGATTTGCTCCCGGGAGGCTGCTGATAGCGACCCTCAGGAATGCGCCGCTCCCGGCAGGGGAGCCTTGGAAAGCCCAGACTCCCACAGGAAAAAAAAAAAAAAATTAAAAAAAAAATCACTTTAAGTCCCCTGTTTGCCTGCGGTGGAGCACAAAGTACAAAGCTGCACATGCCCTCTGGTTTCAAATCGCGGCGGGTGGAGGGGGGGGACAGGAAGGATCAGAACGAGGAGGAGGTGAGTTCAACACAAACCCTCAGGAAGGCAGGCAGTCTCTCAGCAGACCCAAACCACCGTGGTGCCAAAGGTTTTGCTTCCTTTGCCTCTTTTTGGCGCCCGTGGCAGAGGCAGAAGCTTTCCCTGCACGTCTTCCCTAAGGGAGAAGTGTCCCTTTGGACCCAGGCACGCTGGGATAAACCAGGAGAACCTCAAACGCCCCCAAGCAGTGCCAACCTTCCAAACAGGTGGAAAAAAACACCACACGAAAACCTTCGGGGGATTTCAGAGCCTGAAGCTTCCCCCAAGTCCAGTTTCCCTACTAATAAAAAAAAAAAGGTTTCTCCAGAAGCAAAGGCTTCGTGGAGGGACCCGTTCCTGTGGGCACGTGGAAGGGCTCAAAAAAGGACCAGGAGCTTCCAAGTGCCTCCCACCAGGGTCATTCACGACCCCCCTGCTTCCAGTTCAAGGTGTCTGTGCCCTTCCAGCTGTGCCTTCCTTCAGGCTGCCCCAGGTGCCAGAGGGTGGGTGGAGTTGGAGCTGCAATCCACGTACCGGTACCGCTCCACCGAGCTCTGGCTGGCGTGCCCCACGTAGGAGAACTTCACCGAGGTCCTGGCAGGGCCAAGAGCAGTTAAAACCATCACACACACTCCTCCTTCTCCCCCTTCTCCCAGCCTAAAAAGTGCAGAACCCCTGGAGGTTTTCCTGCAGGGAGAGGCAGGGCTGGAAGCGCAGCCTCGGGTTGGGAAAGGAGGTGTGAGCAGGGGGAGAGCAGAGAAGCACCTACCTCATGAAGATCACAACGTTGTGGACCTTCACCTTGGGGTATGTGCAGAAGAAACTGGAGGAGACCAGAGCAGTGGGTCAGCAGCCAAAAATGATTTATAATTATTATTTTTTTTTTAACAATTAGATTTATAGTTATCGTTACCACAATAATTCCTCACTGGTGTCAACTCAAAACCACATCACGACACCCCGAAAAAGGGCATTTCAAGTGATTTTTTCTTTGTTTGTTTGTTTGTTTAGCAAACAGCTGCTTCCCAGGGAGCCAGCACAGGAAAACCGGGTCATTTTCAAAGCCCAGGTTCCTTTGCAAACTTTAATAAAAGCCCCTTTGACCCCACTCTCTCTCCCCCAGCTCCCTACAAAGAGCAGCAAATCCTTACTACACGTAGGAGAAAGGTCCACCCAGCTCTGCCTTGACGGTAAAATTCACCTGTAACGGATTAAAAGCAAACATTGTTGATGTGCAGGTAAAATTCACCTGTAACAGATTAAAAGCAAACATTGTTGATGTGCAGCTCGAGCACCCCCTGGGTTTTTTTGGGGGGGGGGGGGATTTCCCACTTGCTGACGCCTTTGGGGCTGTGAGATGTGGCACTGAGCGGGGCTCTGAGGTGCAACTCGTGGTGGTGGCCCCAGGTTTCCCCCTTGACTCCCAGGGGCACAGGAATTACCAGTTTGTCACTCAGGGGGAGGATGCTGGAGACGTTGGTGACCTGCTGGGTGCCCACCACCCTGTTCATGTACTGCACCTGGCTGCTCAGGCTGCCCACGGCCACCGAGTAGAAGTTGGAGTTCCTGATCCTTAAGGTGGCCTGGAGGGAGAGGAGGAGGAAGAGATGTGGACGACAGGGACCTTCCCAGAAGCTCCAAGTTCATCCCCCTCAAAACAAGGCAAAGAACCCGTGGAAAACTTTACCGTGATGGCCAGGAGGACGACGGAGTTCTTGTGGTCGAACCACACCTGCACCACTTTAATCCCCTCGTCCTCCACCAGCACCGAGTGCGGGAAGAGGAAGAAAACCACCAGCCCGCAGACCAGCAGGCAGAGCAGCACCGAGAGCAGCACGTAGAGTTTCCTGGGGAAAGGCAGGGAAGGGTTCACCTTCCTGTGCCCTCCCACCCAGAGGGAGACTCTGGATCTGAAAATCACCCCGCCACCCACTCGTTCTTCCCGGGGCACAGACACAGAGGCGCTGCTCTGAATTTTCAGTATCACAACTGCTCTCAAAACCCCCCTTTTCCAGCAGTTCATTCTCTGAGCAGGCACAGTTTGGGGTCACCCTCCAGATGTGTTTCCCAGCTGGGTGGTTTTGCAGATGCTCCAAAGATGCTTCAGCGAGTAAAAGGATGGTTGTTCCCACACTCACCCCCACAGCGGGATTTCACGGGGGAGGATTCAGAGTTACACTTTTAAACCGGCTTTGTTGGTGGGTGGGGATGAAAACAGATGAAGGTGGTGAAGGGTTTAGCTGCAGCAGCAAATGGTACAAAAAGGAGCCCTGTTTGTAAATCCTCCCCCTCTGTGAACTCACGTTCTCTGGGGACGAAGCCGCTGGTCGCTGTAGGGGATCAGAGCCACCAACTCATTCACCTGCTCTGGGAAGCAAAGGGAAGCAAAGGGAAGCGTTATCTCATCCCACAGGTCAAACAAACGACATTTCCACGAACAGTTTGAAACAAAAATTTACAATTTACGACCAAAACGACTGAATGTGTCACCTTAAACACTCAGTAAATGGGTGTTTAAGGGCCAGAGAGGAGCAGTCACCTGTGGGGATGCAGCCAGTGCCTTGGCAAGTGGGGCAGGTGATGCTGTCCTGGCCTGTGAATTCAACGTAGGGGAACTTGGCAATGTCTTCCACACGGTCTTGGCTGTCGAGTAAATCATCCTCCTCCTCCTCCTCCTCCTCAGCTGCCTTCCTCTGCCTCGGGGCAGAGGGGAGGGGAAGCACAGCACCCATGGCAGCTGCTGGGGGAGGGTCCCTTCACCTGGACACCTGGAGGCAGCAGGAGCAAGTGGGGTCGTTTTAAACGGGGTTTTTAACCCTGCTTGTGGTCAAGGAGAGCACCCCCCTGAAGCTCCCCAGCTTCCCCAACCCCCTCCCCAGACAGCAGCATCTTCTCAGACATCCCCCCCCAGCCTCAAAATAAGAAGTACCAGGCCTGGTGACATCCCCAGAAACAGCCCAGAGACCCCCCAGACCTCACAACAGGATTACAGACCCCCCTGGATGCCCCCCCAAGGAACCCCCTGGGACCAGAAACACTCCCCAGGGACCCCCAGGAGAGGAACTGGCCCTAGTCCCGACCCCCAGGACCCCCCAGGACGGCCTCTCAGGGACCCCCCAGACCCCTGGGATCACAAACACCCCCAAGAGACCCCCCCAGGGGAAGAACCATGCCCAGTCCCGACCCCCAGGACCCCCCAGACACCTGGGATCCAGACACCTCCAGGACCTCCCAGACCCTGGGATCACAAACACTCGACCCCCCAGACCCTGGGATCAAACACCCAGGACCCCCCAGACCCGGGATACAAACACCCCCGACAGACCCCCCCCAGACCCCTGATCACAAACACCCCAAGAGACCCCAGACCCCACCACAGGACCCCTTCCCGGGACCTCCCAGACCCCGGGATCACAAACACCCCAAGAGACCCCAGGAGGAACCATCCCGGTCCGACCCCAGGACCCCGAGACCCCCCAGACCCCTGGGATCACAAACCCCCCAGACCCCAGACCCCAGGATCAGACCCTTCCCGGGACCCCCCAGAGCCCTGGGATCACAAACACCCCCAGAGACCCCTTCCAGACCCCTGGGATCACAAACACCCCCAACAGACCCCCTTCCAGACCCCTGGGATCACAAACACCCCCAACAGACCCCAGCCCCCCAGGACCCCTTCGGGACCTCCCAGACCCCTGGGATCACAAACACCCCAGACCCCAGAGCCCTGGGATCACAAACACCTCCAACAGACCCCCTTCCAGAGCCCTGGGATCACAAACACCCCAACAGACCCCTTCCAGACCCCTGGGATCACAAACACCTCCAACAGACCCCCTTCCAGACCCCCTTTCCCGGGACCCCCCCCCATCCCCTCAGGTCGCTCCGCCAGGGGGCGCCACCCCCCCACCCGCACCCCTGCCCCGCCGCCTCGCGCCGTTCCCGCGCGCAGCCGCCGTCGCTATGGCAACAGGGGCGGGGCCTGGCCCGTCCGGCCACGCCCAGCTGGATGATGTCACGCCCTCTTTTTTCCGGAATGGGCGGGGTTTTACCGGCCCCGCTGGGGGTGGGGCCACCATCGCTCCACCTCCTGGGCGTGGTCAGAGCGCCGCGTGCGCGGGAGTCACGCGTGGGGTTCCCCCCCCGAGGGCGGGGCGTGTCTTAGAGCGCACGCGCAAGAGCAGAGGAGAGAGGCGGGGCCAGGAGCGAAAGAGGCGGCCAGGGCGTGGGGGCGGGGCCAGGGCGTGGGGGCGGGGCCAGTGCGTGGGGGCGGGGCTTGTCCCAGTACAGCGCTCCTGGGACCAGTTTGGGGTCGACCAGCACCAGTACGGGGGCCTCGGGACTAGTGCGGGACAGGCCCGGACCAGTACGAGGGTCCCCGGACCAGTACGGGACGGGCATGGCCCAGTATGAGGGTCCCCGGACCAGTACGGGACCAGTACGGGACCAGTACGGGACCGGCCCGGCCCAGTATGAGGGTCCCTGGCCCAGTACGGGACCAGTACGAGGGTCCCTGGACCAGTACGGGACCAGTACAGGACCAGTGTGGGACCGGGCGGCCCAGTACGAGGGTCCCTGGACCAGTACGGGACCAGTACGGGACCAGTATGGGACCAGCCTGTCCCAGTATGAGAGTCCCTGGACCAGTACAGGACCGGCCCGGCCCAGTATGAGGGTCCCTGGACCAGTATGGGACCAGTACAGGACCAGTATGTCCCAGTATGAGAGTCCCCGGAGCAGTACGGGACCAGCCCGGCCCAGTATGAGGGTCCCCGGACCAGTACGGGACCAGCCTGGCCCAGTATGAGAGTCCCCGGACCAGTACGGGATCAGGCCTGGCCCAGTATGAGAGTCCCCGGACCAGTACGGGACCAGCCTGACCCAGTATGAGAGTGCCCGGACCAGTATGGGACCAGCCTGGCCCAGTACAGGACCAGTACGGGACCAGCCCGGCCCAGTATGAGGGTCCCTGGACCAGTGCAGGACCAGTATGGGACCAGCCTGTCCCAGTATGAGAATCCCCAGACCAGTACGGGACCAGCCTGGCCCAGTACGAACCAGTACGGGACCAGTACAGGACCAGCCTGGCTCAGTACGAGGGTCCCCAGACCAGTACAGGACCACTATGGGACCAGCCTGGCCCAGTATGAGGGTCCCTGGACCAATACGGGACCAGCCTGGCCCAGTATGAACCAGTACGGGACCAGTACAGGACCAGCCCAACCCGGTATGAGGGTCCCCAGACCAGTATAGGACCAGTACAGGACCAGTACAGGACCAGCCCAGCCCAGTACTGGGGGGGGAAGCCCCAGTGTGGAGCCCCCACATCCCAGTTTGAAGAGCCCTGTCCCAGTATGAGCCCTCCCACACCAGTACAGGGACCCCACCACACCAGTCTGAAGCCACCTGTCCCAGTATGAGCCCTCCCACACCAGTACAGGGACCCCACCACACCAGTTTGAGGGCACCTGTCCCAGTATGGAGCATTCCCACACCAGTACAGGGACCCCACCACACCAGTTTGAGGGCACCTGTCCCAGTATGAGCCCTCCCACACCAGTACAGGGACCCCACCACACCAGTTGGAGGGCACCTGTCCCAGTATAAGCCCTCCCACACCAGTACAGGGACCCCACCACACCAGTCTGAGGGCACCTGTCCCAGTATGGAGCATTCCCACACCAGTACAGGGACCCCACCACACCAGTTTGAGGGCACCTGTCCCAGTATCACCAGTACAGGGACCCCACCACACCAGTTTGAGGAGCCCTGTCCCAGTATGAGCCCTCCCACACCAGTACAGGGACCCCACCACACCAGTTTGAGGGCACCTGTCCCAGTATGGAGCATTCCCACACCAGTACAGGGACCCCACCACACCAGTTTGAGGGTACTTGTCCCAGTATGAGCCCTCCCACACCAGTACAGGGATCCCACCACACCAGTTTGAAGGCCCTGTCCCAGTATGAGCCCTCCCACACCAGTACAGGGACCCCACCACACCAGTTTGAGGGCACCTGTCCCAGTATAAGCCCTCCCACACCAGTACAGGGACCCCACCACACCAGTTTGAGGGCACCTGTCCCAGTATGGAGCATTCCCACACCAGTACAGGGACCCCACAACACCAGTTTGAAGAGCCCTGTCCCAGTATAAGCATTCCCACACCAGTTTCCAGAGGGAAAACTATGGAAAAACACCCAATTCCCCCCAAAATTCCCCCAAAACATCCCCGTGGTGTCCCTGGGCAGTGCCCGATCTTTGCTCCATCTCCCCCCTCAACTCTCCTGACATTTTTATTCCCTGTTTTTCCCAGGTTTTTTGGTCAATTTTGGGCCACTTCAACCCGAGGTCCCCTCCAAATTCATGTAAAAAATATTCCAGCTGGTCTTTTCCTCCAGGAGAGGAACAAATAAAAAAATAAAAAACCCCACCTGGGTCAACATTTCTTCCCAAAATCCTCTCCAGGGGTTTTTCCCCTCTCCAGGGATGTTTTCCCACCTCAATAGATGGAAAAATGAATTCCTTCCCCCTCACAATCACCCCAAACCATCCAAATCCGAGTTTCAACGAGCAAAATATTCCAATGAAACGTTTCCAGAGGCATCGGGGCCGCTCTCCGATGGAAAGTTTTTATGGATCATTTGTTCTCTCCTTCCCAAGAGCAAAGTGTCAGGGGAGGGGGGGGAAGTGGGGGAGGGGGGGATTCCTGGCTCACCTTCCCTACTGGAATTGGGAGCCTTGGGGGTGACTTTGGGGTGATTTGGGGGTGATTTTTGGGGGTGATTTTTGGGGATGATTTGGGGATGATTTTTGGGTGCTTTGGGGGTGATTTTTGGGTGGTTTTGGGGTGGTTTTGTTGGCGTTTTTTGGGTGTTTCTGGGGTGATTTTTGGGGATGATTTGGGGGTGATTTTTGGTGCTTCGGGGGTGATTTTTGGGGTGGTTTTGTTGGCTTTTTTGGGTGTTTCTGGGGTGATTTTTGGGCATGATTTGGGGGTGATTTTTGAGTGCTTCGGGGGTGATTTTTGGTGTGGTTTTGGGGTGGTTTTGTTGGCGTTTTTTGGGTGTTTCTGGGGTGATTTAGGAGGGCGTTTTGGGGGAAGAATGAACCCCTCCTGCATCCCTGCGCAATTCCTGCCTCCAATTCCCTCCAGGGACAGGAAAGAGAGCAGAGCAGAGCCAGGATCTGCCCCCCATTCCCTCCTGCCAGGTGGATCCAGGGCGGGAAAGCAGCTCCAAGGTCAGAAGAGAGCGAAGAAATCAAAACCCCTCACCAACCACAACCCCCTCCCAACCGCTTGGAGCTCAAACCCAGAGCTGTGGGAAAAGGTGGGCTTGGCAAGAGGGGAGTTTTTCTTGGAATTGAGGAGCCTTGGGAGATATTTGAACACCAAAAACACAACCCAACAGAGCTGGAATGGGGATGTGCAGCTCCTCCCGGGCAACCTCACCCACAGCCCCTCTCCCCACCCTCCCCAAAACCCCTTCTGCGCCACTAAATTGCCTCTAACGAGCTCCCATTTCTTCCCCCAGACGTTGTTTTCCCCTCATTAAATCCATTTGAAGCTCTTTAGGCATCATCCCCCACGCAAACAGGGGCTGCTGAACCCGCTGCTCCGAGTGGGGAGGGCTCTTTTTCTGGGGCATTTTGGGTTTAGGGGACACTTGATCAACCCTGGCGCTTCCTGGAGGCATTTCTTGCTGGTTCACTCAGCCTTTGCTGATGGTTTCATCCCGGATTTTGAGGGATTTGAGGATGGAAAGGGGAAAAATTGATGAACACCCCGAGTTTTTTTAGCCCTGGGGTGGCCCAGGTGATGGA